ACCTTTTCTGAAACCATATTGTTCGCTGTTTCACAAGTTTTTAGCTTGCACGAGTGTCATTACGGTCGTTTCAACTATTCTTTCCTATATTTTAACCACGACACTGTCGACGCCGACAAATACGTAGTTCGATGGAAGTCGTCTTGGTCCTGTTTTATGTATAGGACTGACAATCGCATCCTTCCAGTCCATAGGTAACACACCTTGGTCAAGTGACATATTGAATATCACAGTAGGAATGCAATATATTATGCAATTCTCCTTAGGATTTTGGAGTGCAGTTCATTTGGCCCAGTTGACCCTTCCGTGTTTAAGGTGCTAATAGCCCTAATTACATCGTCTCCTTCAAAATGCACAATGATCAGACAGTTTATTTACTTTGTATTTGGATCTAGTTCTTCGTCTAGAAAAGGTTCCTGAATGAAAACTGCTCCAAAATAGTTTTTTGCATAGCCTCTGCTTTTTCCTGATAATCCTCTATCATTTCAGATCAATTTCCTCCTTTAATTAGGTTGTGAATACAATGTTGCATCCTTGTTCGGTAATTTATATACGAGAATTGTCTCTTAGGCTGCGTAATTGCAGATTGTGCTAAATGCGTTTCATAATTTCTCTGAGCTTTGCGGATTTTAATTATACACTTATTTCTTACCGACCTGTAGCGTTCCATCGTACTTGCTGTGCCAAGGCTGATGGCAGCATTCCAACATTTCTTCTTTTGTCATAGTAAACGTCGACTATTCCGGCCTATCCGGGATGGCCGTGCTTCTTCTTCTTTGGGACTGTCCAGGGTATATATGGTTGAGTTACCCAATTGTATAACTGTCTGAAGTGAGTTCATGCCTCTCATGCTGATGCTCTTGAGTCAATTTCCAGGTTTTCAGCCGATGCAGCAGAGTTGATTGCCTTCGTATCTGCCTTCCAGATATTAGGACGGGCCGGCTCAGGCCACCTCAGCTGTTTGACAGGCCACCTCAGCTATGAATCTGAATAATATAACTTCATGGTCACTTCTCCCTAGTGGTGAGAGGAAAGTCATTTGACCAACGTCATCACTGTGTGTGAAGACTAAATCCGACGGAATGTGTCAAGTTTCCTCTCGAAAGATTCCTGGGAATTTGTTTGAACTATCTCAGCAAGATGTTTGCCTCGATGATAAAAGATAAAGGGTCGACGTCAGTCCTAGCCTAGTGAGCTTTAATGCCCGTCCAATTTTTTACTCAATCACTTGCCGTGTGTGAAGAGTAAACCCGAAAGAGAAGAGGAGTTTCGTAAATCATATCTTGTGGGATCTCTAATGTGCTGGAATAAAGCTAATCCAATTGAGGTTTCTAACAGTTTGCAATCAAATGAAGTTTTGGATGATCCTACTTCTGAGTTTACCCAGTTTATATACGGTGCATTAGAGTCGCCTACTATAAGGCTTTTACCCTTGTTACACCAGGACTTAAGATGACTTAGGAGGAAGTCATCTACTACACATTCTGGACTGAGATATACTACGATTAATTCAATATCTTGCCGTCTACATTTCAGTCTGCAGCATATCAAATCACATCGTCCTGAATCATGTACCACTCTCGTATGGTAAGAGTATTTTCCATGTACAAGATAACCCCGCTTCCCTTGCGGCTTAATCTATCGGCCCTAATGGATAAAAAAACCAGTCAACTGAATTTCATTATCGGACACTTCTGACGTCAACCATGTTTCTGAGAAATCCAGTTTTTCTATATCCATCACTGTCTTGAGCTCCGCCATTTTATTTAGTGGGCTGCGAGCGATTGTTTACTTACTTACCTACGCCCGTGACTCCCTACGGAGCAAAGGCCGCCGACCAGCATCCTCTAACCCACTCTGTCCTGAACCTTCCTTTCCAGTTCTATCCAATAGTTTTCCATTCTTCTCATGTCTGTCTCCGTTTCTCGACATGATGTGTTTTTTGATCTTCTTCTCCTCCTTTGGCCTTGAAGATTTCATGTAAGGGCTTGCCTTGTGACGCAGTTCGCTGCTTTCCTCAACGTGTGCTTTATCACCTTCCAGCGCTTCTTCCTGATTTCTTCCTCCACTGGGATCTGATTTGTTCTCTCCCACAGCAGGTTGTTGTTGATAGTGTCTGGCCAACGGATCCGAAGTATTTTGCGTAGACAACTGTTAATAAACACTTGTATCTTTTGGATGATGGCTTTCGTAGTTCCGCAGGTTCCCGCCTCATACAGAAGAACCGTCTTGACATTTGTATTGAAAATTCTGACCTTGGTGTTGGGAGCATTTGTGTAGCACACGTTTAATTCTGTTACCACTCAGAGTGGTTTGAGGATCGTTTTGCTGAAAACGTTTACAATTTCAAAACCCTTGAGTACGAGGTTTCTTTCACCATTTCGGAGGCGCTCATTTATTTTTACCTCTGCAGCTCATCTCTCAACACGGTCAACCAGGCTGAGATACTCACGAACGTTGATTACGGATCCAATTAATTTGTGTGAGTTTTCCAGTATCAGGCTTTTTCTCTAACCGCAGCGAAGGTAACTTCCAAGAGGCGGTTTCCCTGAGTATTTCCAGAATCCACCTGTCTTCTTATTTTATAAAACTTACAAATGCTAACTTCGGAAACTTTCTGGGAGTAGCTTGCTTATCAAGGATTTAATGCAACTGAGGTCGTCCTGAAATCCAGCCTTCGCTTCCTTTTCGGAAGATCCTCCTAACTTATGAAAAATGACTGATCCCTCAGCGCGGTCCGTCTTAATACGCCGTGGAATTTTAGTTCCTGAAATCGTCTCTTCCCCGCAATCCCATTCCAATTTAGCGTCAAGCGCAGTAGTCACGTTCTGTTTTATTACTTCTCTCTTCCTAGGTGTGAATTTGAGCCACTCACTTTTCTTATTTTGTCTCTTAATTACATCTTCTACACCGCTCAGACTTGACTCCCCCATAATTTGTTTTGCGTTGATATGTGAATCCGGAACTGAAACCGTAGATCCACATGCCTTTGTACTGTCTATGAATAGTTTCCTCTTCTCAGCGAGCTTTTTTTCCTTGTGATAATGCCTACATTCGTATGCTTGTTATCCGCTCCCTGATTGGGTCCACTTTTATGGTCTCATTCAAATCTAGAGCTGGGCTCATGATAACGCTCTCTATTTCCTCGAAAGCGGAATTCAGCTGTCTGTTTATGTGAGGGCAATCTTCTAGTCATGTTCAGCAGTTCAATCTTCTCAAGAATCAACAGAGACTTTGTAGGACAACATACTCTGCACAGCCAATGTGATAGTGGCTTGAAGCGCCTTTTATATGTAGCCGGTGTACGTCCGGTGCACACATTGTGATATCACTTATTGCAGTTGTCACAATGCATCCCATCATCGACGGGGAAATAGCATGCAGGTCTGCCACAACTACGTTTTACTTGCAGCATAAAATTGTTTTGTGATCTCACAGGAAGAACAAAAGCGAAAACTGGTCACTAGAATATATATATTTTATGGCTTATTATGTGATAGACACTGAACACAAAAACAGAGGTTTGTTTATTAGTGCATCTAACAACAATGAAAAAATCCGACTTCTGTAGATACGAAAAAACCTTAACACTTTTGGATACAAACAATACTAAAAGATATACTCAGAGATGAAAAAATACCAGTGCCTTCTTTGTATCTGTACTCAAAAAGTACAGATTACAAATCTTTCTAGAAAAAAGAGATACTCTTGGAGATTACTTTAACTGAAATAAATTTAATTAAAGCAAAAACAATAATGTTGATGCGTAATTAAACGGTCAATGCTATAAAATATACTCAGAGGAAAAATACCACTGTCCTTATTTTTCTTAAAAGAAGAGTGATGCATATCATACAGTGAACTGATTCATTTTCAACTGTTAAAAAACCAGACAAAATTTCACACAATCAAACTCAACAGGTATATGTTTTGGAGTTACAAGAGTAAGGATGACTCGTGAAGATTTTCCGTTGCAGTTAGCGTCAGGTGTTGAATCATCTACAACTAAGAAATTAACGCTAATATGTATTATCTTATTATTTGTTAATTATCTGATTTTCATGTTTGCTGATTATCCTAAACACAATTGATGGAGAAGTATGTCAAGTGCTGTTAGACGTTTTCCGGATACTAATAATTTTACTTACTTTACTTTGTTTCAAGCCCTTTGGTATTTCTTCCGAACAAAAATTGGAATTATTCGTTAATACATTTCAATCCATATTTGGCTAGATGTTTATTATCAAAAAGCGCTTGATTTACACAAGTAGTGTGGTGTATACTGATAAATACAAGTAGTATGTAGTACCAATCTGAAGCGGAATCTCTGGAAGCCGAAGATCGAAATGAAGAAAACAGGAAGGAAGTCGAATTGAAATCGATAGAACAACAGAATTAGAGAAATAATAGAATACGTGAAGGATAACGTGAAAAAGATGTGCATATGATGTATTTAATGCAAAATTTTCATATTATACTAAGACACTGTGTGATTTGCATTAGATACTAAAATGGTTTTCTCCTCCAAGTATTCTTTCATTTAAGTAAAATTAAAGAATTTTGCTTTTACATAGCTTTAATGTAAAAAGTAGACATAGAAGAAAGTTATTAATTTATTGCCCGTTCTTGGTGAAGCTAGTTATACAATCTAAGACGCTTAAATAATGTAGTGGAGAAATGACATACGTAGTCACTTGTTGGAAACGTGGAATTAAAGGAAAAATGATGAAATATTTACCTTTTACTGGCTAATTAAACAATATTTACATCGAAGACAGTTGAAGTGTCACAACAAACAAATTACATGATACGTCCTTCCAAAAAGGTAACATTAAAAATAAACATGATTTTAAAATGAAATAAATCGTTGATAAACGATCAAGTTAATTTTAATTATATTTCATACAGTGCATAATAGAAGTAGAGATAGTAGTAAGTTTAAAAATCATGAACATAAAGTGTGGTTTCTCAACGTAGTTTTAATTTTTTTTCCTCGACAGTTATGCATTCAAATAATCCATTTCCTGAATTGGTCTCAAGTGATATAAAACAAATTCCAGTAAATACATGTAGAATGGTTGAATATAATGCAAACTAATCAAGTGATCACTGAGTAAATCCTTTAGATCAATAGAAAATAAGTTATTAGAGTTACACTAACAGGGTACAGAAGAAATATTTATCAATAACATCTAAAAATAACTTTAAAAAAAACTACTCATTTCCAAATAACTAACTCGGACTTAGTGTTTTAGCGTAAGATTATTGCCTGATTTCAAAGCATATACTACTTATTTCTATACACGGAGAGTAATATTTCTGATATAAACATAAAACCCAATGCTCAACAGAATCGTGAAGCATTCCGATTTTTCATAATTTGACATGGAAATTGTAGACTATACACTCGTAAGCAAAAAAATGTATCAAGTCTTCTGAATTAACAGTGGTGGCGATGTCATACCTGACTACATAATTTTATCCGGTGAAAAAATTAAGTCAGTAAGATAGATAAATACGATTTTTTTAGGACCATGTATCGCATCTATTGTGTTTGTGTTTTTGTTTTAACAACAGCTCTTTCTCGTCAATACAAAGCCTGTCATTAAGCCGCAGAACTTTCGTGAAAGCTATTTCACTATAATGATTATTTAAAAAAAGTAATTTGAATAGTTCATTCCATTTGTCAAGTCGGATTCATTATTTTACTTTACATTTATGTTTCATTCTTTGCTTCGTTATAGTGCATTTACCACTAGAAGAAATAAACGTCAAAGATGTTCCAAACGAAAGCTTAGCTCAGAGAAGGAAGAGTTACCAAAACGACCTTATGTATCTGGTGGAAATAGTATTTAATGGTCATTAAAGATTAATTTTAAAATAAATACTCAAATTAAAGACCTAAAATAATGTTTATTTCCCTGAAAGAAATCCAGAAAAGTATCACCATTTGCATTAGTATTGAAACTATACCATTAACAAATCCACTACTCTTTGATTTTTTGATCATTTCTTAAAGGATGGCCTGGTCATTTCAATACCGGCGTCAGACTTCAAAATTTCCTCAGGTAACGAAACACAGCATTTTATTTCTACTGTAAAAATACTGATTAGGACCCAAAATTAAGTACATTTAAAGGTCATCATATTTTCGTCAAATATTTTCAAAGTTTAAATCACGAACTGGTCTTAGTTACATCACCAGTGAAAACCTGGATGCACTGAAAGGCCGTTTCGTCTTAGTATGGGTCTTCCCTATTTTAGTGAGAAGCTGCGACCAGTGAAGTCCTATCGTGGTGTGTGTTACTTGAGTTTACAGACATAAATAGTATGCAACACCAGTGAGAAGTGGGACGTCTGTGAGCAGAAGGTTGAGAAAATTGTAGTGAAGTGAAGAGAGAATAAAACTGAAAACAATCAAGATATCAACAGGAATGAAGGAACAATGAAGCTTGTAAGAGACTATTCAAAGATTTGCAAATGATGTATTAAATGTATAGTTTTCACATTTTAATAAAACATTGTGTGATTGTGCATTGAGCAATGAATTGATCTTCCCCACCTGAGAGTTCGCTTACGACATTATCCGTATCGAGTGTGGGCTGCTATAAGCTTCAGCCAATGGATGGAGACTGCGCAACATCGCGGTTTGGTTGAAATCAAACAGTAACGCAGTTGAATGCTGCTGTTTTGATTCGTGAACGAACAATGCTGAAAAGTCCCATACTAGAACGAAACAGGTTTTTAACAGTGGTCCAGTTAAGACCAGTTTGCGATTTAAACTGAAAATTCTACAATCTCCAAAGATCCGCAAGAAAAATATTACATTACGTAAATAAGCTGGAAAAATCTCAGGTTAGCGTTTGCTGACAATAAATAAATATATAAGCTCACATGAAAAACGAAATGTTTTCTTTAATTTAAACTAAACTTAGTGTCTTACTAAATTTTGATTGTGGCTAGTAGTAGGATCAGGGATGTATGTTTTGTTCTGTTTCAGATGCGTCAGCCAGATGGACCTTATTCTAACGCCAGGACTCGAACTCAGTACTATCCTGTTCAAACTCACAACATGTAATCCATGGAGACACTGAGTTCAAACCGTTGTTATCTTATATGATCGGTATGAAATTTTTGATTTTTAAAGGTTTACCATTATTGATGTTAGGGATCACAATTGATCAGTTCCTATTGAAATGTGTGCATCATGAGTGGATTGACTGTGCATCGTTGTTTAGTCACAACTTTTTATTAAATCTGGTAACTGATCAGTTGCAGTATTTAATAACAATGGGAAAGTACAAATCCTTATAAATAAAATATATTCAATGAAGAATGTGTATCATAAATGGATGCTTTCAAAATTTTAATTTATGGCTCAGTTTTCGTAGTTATTTATGCCTCAATGATCATCCACAAATATAGTTAATGCTTTAATCATGTGTTCAACGGTACAAAGACTGGATGGTTATCTACAAAATCTATCAAGGTTTCTCTCTAGATTATTTATTTATCTCTAGTATATATGTATGTTTCATGGGTTGACATTGACAATTATTAGGTAATTTTAGAGTGCTTTCACAAAAAGCAAAATATCTTAATATTAAGATACTTTTAAATATGCAAACAAAGGTATCCTACATGCTGTATTGTTTTTGCATTCTTCCTAAACATAGTAAAAACAACTTACTTGGTATTGTTTGCTTGTATCTTTCCATTGTTGTTTGGACTGCAATTGATTAGTTTCTTATTGGCATATGTGTACACTGGGCATACTGTCTCGATATTGCCTTAAGTCACAAGCCTGATGAGCAAAGACGGATGGTGACTAGCAGTGGAATTCAGGACGTGCGTTTCGTCCTATTTGGGACTCGTCAACCGGATTTATCTGAATCCCAGAGTTGGTGTTCACTCCAGGAATCTTTTGATACTTACTAATGGAAATAAGGTGTTGAAGAAATAACCTATATACATCGTAACTACATGCAACAATGTTAACCACTGTGTGTGATTTTGTTTTCAACTCATATGGTGGTTATTATAATGATCATTTTTGGAATAAAGAGGTGCTCTGATTGAAGGAAGCGGACATATTAACAAACTGGATAGAATATTACCAATAAAAATAATATATCTGTAATATCCCAATGAATAGAAAAACTAAATCTTTCAATGTTTCGTGGCTCATTGTAAGCCACTTCTTCAGTGAACACATGGATAGAATATTGTTTACTTATAATAACTCAAAATATGAGTTATACGACTGCGAAAGACTTTGGACCTTGATTAGTGCAAAAAATCTTTTGTCAAGCTAGACATGTGCTGTGTAAATTAAATACATATAAATCAAATCTTCGATATTCAGTTGATCAATGTTTGCTCATCTACTTTCATAAAGTTCCAGAAAACATTGAGATTAACAAAATTTTATAAATGAATAAAAATGTATGTGCAAATTCTTACACTTGGATCATGAAGATGATCAGCCGTTTTTGATGTAGTTGCTGGAGATTTAGAATTTTTAGCGTGTTTCTTCGGATAAACTAAGCTAAGAAATTCACCTTCGAGACTGCGCCATTGGAAAAGATAATAATTTCTTTGTTCTCTTCGCCACGTGAATGGAAAGGTCCCATTTAAATCAACCATATGATATAGTTTTACACCGACTGGTTGACCACACATACCTGAAAATCAAAAACACTGAATGTCAAAAAGCTCTAATATATGTGTAAATTGTTAGGAAAAGCTGACGAGCTGATAATGTACACTATTTACTGTTTTATCATTTAATCAACTCCAATCAACTGGGTAACTCTAGTCTTAATTTGATTTGTTGCAATCAGATATAAATAGATTGTTTGCGAAATACTTTTTTTCAGGACTCCTAAGCAGTGGGTATAAATGACTGCTTAGAATCCATTCCAGAATACATAGGATATTTAATGCTACCGACAACTTAAGACCATTGCTTATGTTCAGTTAATGAGACAATTATACCTGTGTGTAACTGCTTCTCTCTAGAATTAGTAGACTACATAAAAATTAGAAAACTACATCTAAAAGATAATCATCAGTAAGTACATGGTTAAGTGTTTAGGGACTAGTTTGATTTCAAGATAGTTTTCTCTACTGAGTGATACCAGCTAAACAATTATTAAAAACTAAACAACACTGAAATGTTTATTCTTACTAGTTTAAGGCCCCTAAGTAATGCGCACTCTGGACCCTCAAATCTCTTGATGAACAGGACATAGAAACAGTTGATTCTGCCGACTCAAACATTTAAAAGAAGTCAGTTCCTTTTTTTTCACAGCTTGATTATGATTACGAAAAAATTGAGGACCATATACCAAAAGTTGTTGAATATCAAACATAGATATAATAAATTATCATTTTACGTTACTCTGGAGTTACAGTGCACTACATGATCGACAAAATCAAGAAGAATTATAACATAATACCAATAAGTAGTTTCCCGTTTCATAAATTCAGTAATGTTCTAAATTTACAATATGGGAATATTTCAAATTTTGAGGTCACGTGGGGACCCGATTGCATTTAAGGTGCTCAATGAGTTCCTAAAGTTTAATGCTCGTCTAACTGAAGCGAAAACATCGTTGGAATTTATTAATGATTGTATACGGAATGATAGATATCCTCAAATATATTGGAAATGTTTACGCCGGAACAAAGTTTATCTGAATGCCAGAAGCTTTAAACGGCATGCACTCAACCAAACGGATTCACTAAAATTACACATAAACAATCTAGAAAGAAATCTTTCACAAAGAGAATATATGCTCGATAACCTACCACTGGAAATAAAATCACAATTTATGGATTATAATAACATGGTGGCAAAAAGTAGATCAGAAAAACTGGGGACAAAACTAATTCAGTCACTGGAACTTCATAAACCTAAAAGAAAATTTCCTATGGACCCTGAGCTGTACGTTCATAATTTCTCTAGTGTTACGTCAGACACATTGCAAGTAGAGGAACTGTCACTCGGCCTTAGGTTTTGTGACTATAGTAATAAAATAAGCCAACTAGATATAGATGTACAGTTTGAAAATCTATCTACACAAACAACAGATTTGGTGCCTAATTCTCCTGATGAACTAACCAGGTTTAAGACCACGTTGGTAGACATCTGCCAACAATACAAAAATAGTAGATGTACAGTGAAAACTCCACTTACCAAACAGCACCGAGATGCTTTACATGTACTTAGAAACGACAATACTCTAATCATAAGCAAGCCGGACAAAGGAGGGGGGCTAGTTCTTATGAACAAAGCTGATTACATTAATAAAATGAACGTGATTTTGAATGATCCGACAAAATTTCAGAAACTCAACGACGTTAAGGACTTAAATATGAAGGCAGAAAAATTGCTGACTAACTCACTGAAGGAATTAAAAAATAAAGGTATTCTTACTCCTGACATACATGACTCACTCAAGCCTACTGGATCGAACACATGGTTTACCTAAAGTTCACAAGACAGGTCTTCCTCTTCGTCCAGTTTTAGATATGTATAATTCGCATTATCATAAAACTGCAAAGTGGCTAGTTCGTATCCTAAACCCCTTACACAAATTAGTCGTCAATAGAAGCGTGAAAGACGTCTTCGATTTCATTTCTAAAGTGGAACATATAAATTTAAACGGGGAACAAATGATATCTTTAGATGTTGCTTCCCTGTTCACCAATGTACCGTTAACAGAGACTATTGATTTTGTGTGCCAACAACTACAGGAAAAACAAACTAATATTGGAATTCCTGAGGTTAGTCTTAAAGAATTACTTTTGAAATGCACAATGAATGTCCATTTTGTCTTTAATAACACATATTATAGACAAATTGATGGTATAGCGATAGGTTCGCCTCTAGGTCCCATCCTTGAGGATTTTTTTCTGGCGAAACTAGAAAACGGACCTCTCAAAGAGGTTATCAATAAACTGGATTTCTACTGTCGTTACGTTGATGACACTTTCATCATTGCCGATCAGAACATTAGAAAAGAACAGCTATTGGAACTATTTAATAACAAACATCCTGCAATTAAATTTACATGTGAAGAGGAAATAGATAACCAACTAAATTTCCTGGACGTTTTGTTAAGTATAAAAGAAAATGGCTCTGTCAGCAGAGGTGTGTATAGAAAAAGTTCTTCTCGAAGCCAATACACGCATTTTTTAAGCTTTGTGCCTCTTCATTATAACAGAAACTTAGTCAGATGTCTTGCAAACAGAGCTATTAAGATATGCTCAGTCGACACAATTGATAGGGAATTACAACACATTCATAATATTTTGATTGAATTGGGATATCCACAGGGTTTCCTGAAGAAACACTTGCGTGTACAAAACAAGAAAATAGTGACTCTGACGGCTAATAAGAAACTGCTTTTCTTGAAGCTGCAATTCAATGGTGATGAGAACGTTTGATGCTGCCAACCTCTGCCTATCGTATTCGGCCCGATCGATAGTGATTCCGCAATTGAAGGGTAAGTTACCTGGTTATCCCACTTCTATGTGTATCTACGAATTCAGCTGCTCCTGTGGAGAAAGCTATATTGGGCGCACTACCAGGCAACTGAACCAACTAGTTAGTGAACACCTCACTTCGTGGTTAGGAACAGGTTACGCCAAAACAATACGCAGCTCGGTTCTATCACACTTGATCGATAGCGGTCATACAGTGGACAGAAACAAGTCGTTCAAAGTTATTTATCGTATTCCCACTAGTTTTCCTTATGCTATTCGACCTCGTCTCTTACACATAGCAGAAGCTATAGGAATCCGAGCCAACAAGCCAAGTCTTTGTGTTCAGAAGAAATTTGTAACACCCTTATCTCTCCCCTGGCCTTAAGTAATAGATGAATTTATCTATTCTTTTTCAAACTTTCTCTTCGTTTATTATTATTTTTCTTCACCCCCTCCTACCTCTTTATTTTCTCTCAACTTTACGTTTCATGGTCTAATTATCTGAACATTTCTTATTACGTCATCTCATAATTTTATAATTGTTATCTCAGTTTCTATATTTTTCTAATCATTGACCTATTTCCGATTATGTAACACTGATTTGAGCCTTTATTATTCTTATCAAAACTAATGCACCTGTTGTCACACCATCAATTTGTACTTTTCACGTTTCACTTATTATGTTATCGTTTTCATTGTTATCATTGACTTATAAACTACCTTGATTGGTTTAATAAATTCGTATATGCATATAAATATTACTGTATATTAGAGTAAAGCCTGATGAGGATCTAATCGAAAACAATATTGTTCGCTTATATATGTTGTTCTAAATTCAGTAATAGTGGAAATGAACAAAATCTTTTCAGTATCAATGCGAAGTATTATCACTGCTCCGTTTGCTCAGAACTAGATCAGCTGAGTAAACCACCTAATTTCATTGCATTTTCTGATCAAGTTTTCAGTCACTTTAATGGTAAGCATGTAATCGATTTCCAGCACTTACTTAATTTCACATCTTCTTTGTCTTCATCGTACGTCGGACAACTTGGATGCTTGTCAATAGCTTGTTCAACAATACGCTTTAATGCTTCTTGTGAGAGGACATAACCTGCACCTCCAGAGAAATAACCATTTTTTGTAAGGTACTATCAAAGAATCAATACAATATGTATCTTCTTTAGAAACAAATGAAAGAAATAATCAAGTTGTATTGTTAGGTAGTTTGAAACTTATGTTCTCTGATAAGATTTCACTCCCGTTGTTATTAACGTGTAGAATCGTTTGATTCGATACCCAATAAGCAAAAAATTATAAATTAAATGGTTACAGAGTTCTGAAGTTAACTATATTAACTATGTAAATCCAGATTATTAGGATTATTGGAACTCAATATCTGTAGATTAACGGCATACAGTTCTAGTTTCCGGAAATGTAATGTAATGCCAACTTGTTGTTCATGTACAGGAGAGTAGAGATGCTTATTCAACTGATAGGTAATCCTTTAAACATGGATGCAAAATTACTTATATTCGCTCTTAGATATTGTACCACATATCTAGACTAACATACCTGTCGTTAGATGACTCTTCATATCAGAAAGAAATGATTATTTGACTTAATGCTTGATGACAGACTGTTTGAACAAATGGTTTTATGACTAAAACGGATCTATTGAGCAACTTTCAAATGTATACAAGCTAAATAAGTTAGAATAAGGGCAGACTAAAATGTCTACAACAAGCAAATTAGAACCAGTATACGTTGTGCAAACTAATGCGTTTTAAAATAAAGGCAATCCGACAAAGAACAGAACTACACAAAAAGAAACTAGTATATTTCATATACAGAACTATTATAACAGTTGATACAAGCTATGTATTGATTCCTAGATTGAAAGCTCTAATAGTCGTGTTTCGGAAATCTTTTATAAAATCTACCGGGCTTACGCTTGACTCTTCACTCTTTTACATGACTACAAAACATTAAATTCTCAATGTCGTAATAACTCTTACTACTGTAAACCTTATTACCCAATATACTGAAAAACGAAATCTTCATCAAAAGGTTTGTAATTCGTAGGTCTGATTTCACTTGGTAAAGTCTAGTGTAGACTTATGAATAGTTTTAATAAAAACAAATAATATATTTGTAATATCCCAGTGAGTAGGAAAATTAGATTTTCCGACGTTTCGTGACTCAGTGTAAGCCACTTCTTCAGAGAATAAATAGCCAAATCAAAATTAATCCAAGTTTAAATAGTACAACGGAACAATAAGAATAATATGTGATCAATCAAAACAGGTCTGAACAGGTTAATGTCATGTCATTTCGGTCAAAGTGATTTATAAGTGATATGTATGTAAATTTGTGTGTATATATGTGTGTATTATTTAAGGGTGAAAAATTGTGTGACATTTATGGTGAGAAAGGATAGAGTTTAACTTGTAAGATAATAGTGTGAATTGTGAATGATATCAGACTAGGTGGCTAGGATAGATAGTCCAAATAGGATGTATGATAAGGCCTTCTTTTCTATTGAGAGCAGTAGGATTAAGCAGTATATGGAACACTTCAGCCATACTCCGTTCTTTGTAATTGGAAAAGCCTTTTTGTAATATTTTGATATTTTTGAAATCGATTTGGTGGTCGTTAAAAATGGAGTGAACTGCTATTCCCAATTTAATTTGAAGTCTATCCAGTTCTACGGGATTATTAAGTGGTTTCATCGTGTACCTAATATGTTCTTTGGCTCGAGTCCAGATTTCGCGAGATGACTCTCCAATATAGAAGGCATCACAATCGACACAACCTAATTTGTAGACCCAGTTCTGTGTTGACATGAAGGGAATTTTTTCTTTTAAGCGAACTAAAGTATTTCGAAGTGTGTAAGTTGTTTTGTAATATACTTTAATTCTGTGTTGTTTTAAGATTCTTTCGAGTTCTTCTGTTGTGCCATGATGGTATGGTAAAATTGCAGTACCAATCCATGACATTCAATTAGATTTATTATATTACGCAATGGAACGTCTTGTTTTAATATACTTCTAATAATCTTCATAGAGAAATTATTAAATTGTAAGATGCTAATTACATTCTTTTGTACTTTTTGTTTATCCTATTTCGATGTGATAATCTTGTTGGCTGTCCTAAAAAGATTTAGGGCTAGCGAGATCTTTGCACTGAATGGATATGTGTAGGCTTTCGGTAGATGGATAGGTTTAGAATCCCATTTTGATTTCTTTTCACTAAGCAATCTAAAAATGGTAACTCATCATGTTCATTTTCATTCTCGTTCGTAAATTTGATGTGCGATGAAAGTTTATTGATTCGTTTCGAAAAAGATCTTAGATGGGTCTTTTTTATTACAACAAAGGTATCATCTACATATCTAAGCCAAATTCGTGATTTAATGTCGTTGGCGAAAATATTTGATTCTATGTGTGTCATAAACAAGTTGGCTGGAATCGAAGACACGGGGGATCCCATTGTTACCACTGTTAGTTTGTTTGTCTAACGTCCCGTTAAAAGTAAAGTGTCGAATTTAAACAGAGGATTTTATGATTAGATTAATGTTTAAAGGACATCTGGTAGAAAGAGTACTGTCGTTCTCTAGTAAACCACTAATGAATTCTAAGCATTTATCATTTGGAATACTAGTATATGATGAAACATCACCATCGCTTACCATGACTTCATTCTTTTCGATAATTAATTCCGATATTTTCCGATAGTTTTAAATAAAAGTAAATGTCTTGAGCGATTTCTATTTTTGATAAGTTGAGTTGATTTAGTCGCTCAATTTTAACATTTAAGTTCAAAGATCATATTCACTTTTAATCAATAAATTAGTGGAATAAACCCAATTTATCTAATTTCTAATAAATTTAGATCATTAAAGGTTGATTATCAAATAGATTACTATAAAAATAATCAACTGAGTTGTGAGTAAGAATATGTATTCACCTTTGATCTTATAGATACCAGTCGTATATTTTATCTATTGATTAAGTTTAGCAATATTTAGTAATTCTCTAGATTATGTCAGTTAGTGATAGAAGTTATCTGAACTAACCATTTATAAACTGATTATTTAGAAAAAGTATTTGTTAGGTTGAATTATTCTTTTATATTGGATATACTACTTCATTACTAATGATCAAATATATTTAGAAAAGAAATAATATTATTGGATGCAGAAATTTGTTCTTCCATTATATTTCCTTATTGTTTGTATAAAAAGATTTTACTAATAATTTGAGTTATAAGGTAATCTCTCTTAATTATAAAAACACAAAATAGGGCCCAGTGTAAAACAAAAATAACACTGAGCAAAGATGGATAGTGGCTAGCAGTGGAATCCAGGACACGCTTTCTGTCCTATTTGGGACTCATCAGCTGAATGTACCTGCATCTCAGGGTTGATGTCGACTCTGGGACTCGAACCTAGTACCATTCGCTTCAAACGCCATCCCCTTACTCACTCAGCTACTGAGTCCTGGATTCCACTGCTTGTCATCATCCATCTTTGCTTACAATGCTTGTGAATTAAAGCAATATCGAGGCAATACGCATATTATACACATATGCCAATAAGAGACTGGTCAATCGCAGTCCTAACATCAATCGGAAGATTCAAGTAAACAGTACCAAGTGAATTCAGAAATAAACTTATTTATAATAACCTATGCAAGTCTTACGAATAATTTTCATTGGTTGGACTCTGGAAAAAGAATTTAATCACCTGAGTATTTCTTTTATATCACACAACTAACAGACTATGACAAACACTTATAATTTAAGCATTGACTTAACTTACTTTTAACAGCTTTATCTACAAACCTAATGCAACTCAAAACTGAGTGGCTTCTTAAAGCGTTAGCTATTATCACCAAGCCATGTCTGAAATCTTGAAGTATTAGCACTCTCCATAAGATTTGAGTAATTATCAAGAGAGAGTAGAAGTGCCCTTGCTTTAGATAATTCCCGACTGACGTTTTACAAAAACCTTCGTACTTTGGTCAATAATATTATGTCAACCAGTCATACTCAGAGATCAAGTAACTAGTATTCTTGCTTATGATTATTTCAGGTTTATACGTTCACAATAACTGCTAAAAGAACTATCGTATAAAAACTAAAAGCTTAAATTTTTCAGATTGCTTTTATTAAATGGGCTTTTGTTACATAATCACATTTGGGAACTAGAGGAAATCATGAATATAACTACTGTTAGATATTGCGAATTTCCAAAGTTTAAAAATAATCAAACTTACAGGAAAATTATAACCAATCATAAATGGATCTTTAGGATTATGCTGATGTAAAATAGATCTTAAATTTTCCATGATTACAAAAGTATCATCATCTGCTTTTAAAAAATAATCATAATCATTTCGATATTGATAGACATAACGAAGAATTGCTCGCATTTTACTCCATAAATGTTGACGACTTTCTGGATAACTTAAATTTAACTCTAAGAACAAAAACAGTTGTTAAATGTTAGTTTAGTAAAAGAATAATAAATAGTTTAAAGTGGATATAGCCACATTGTTTGTTTGCCTATTATCTCTGCCTTAGAATAAACACATTAACAATGTGGCAAATGCTAGTTAACGGAGGGCTTCTGGGTGTACCATACTGGGCGAAACACCCGTCTTGTGCTTTCAGGTTTTCAATGGTGGTTTAGGTATGACCAGTTCGTGATTAAAAAGTGAAAATATTACAATCTTCACAAATTCGCGATACTAGAAAGAATAATTGTCATCATTTATCTTCACAGTTTTTCAATATTATTCAGAAATACTCGGTGATTTTTACGTGATAATTCAAGGAATGACTTAATTAACTAATAGACTTTAATAAAGTTTATACTCAGTTTAAAATAAATTTTAAAATCTTAGTGATATTAGTAGATTAATTAGGCGAACAAAAGTATTCAAAGAAACTTTTCTGAAAAACAGTGGAAAGTCTTACTATTATAATTTCCATTCTCAAATTCAATCTTATGATTTTATAATTTGAACATTGAGTTCGAGTTTCATTATGAATTTCAGCATTATAATACAGGTCCATTCGGTTGAAAAATCCTGAATAACGAGGAACTTACATTTTAGACTCGATTGTTTGTCACTACCAGGAAAATTATGAAGAGTATGTGTATTTAGGTAATATCAAGGTTTTTACTTAATGAATCAACATGTCATTAAAGATTTACTATTTCAGTTTTCAATCTCATCAGTGAAAAAATTCAGATGAAGTAATAATAGGAACGAATCTCGTTGGTAGTCAAAGCTGAATAAAGAGTTAGTATATTTACATTCATAAATCAGAAGGATGTATGACAACTGAAAACGATCACTCAAGACAGAGTTCAATGGAGAATGCTGGTGAGCAGCCTATACTCCTCCACGAGGGATAACAGGTGTAAGTAAGTATATTTACACTATTTCAGCAAATGGTAGAACATTTCACTTGGGACAGAAATTGCTTAATCTACTGACTGGTATCTGTTCTGTGGGATTTTTTTGTAATTATGTGTAATCCTTTGGACATAAACACTGATGTCTTATTTTGAAGTGTTCGTAAATAGTAACGGCAACTGTATCGCTAGGAATCTTGAGATCAACCTTTTATTGTAAATGTGATTTAGAATTTATTTGTGCATTTTCACAACTGAGCAATTTGAATTCGACAGAATTTCTGGCCACTGCTCTTGATTTTTGTTATTCTAATCGAGAGTTTGATTAAAACGAAATTAAGTATTTGAAATTGCATAAGAGAAAGTGAAAAATTTGCTGTTGGTGTCATATGAACTTTAATTCTAGAGAAAAGTAGGGAGTCATAGTGAGTTTCTTTCTATATCAGCACTACTCGACACCTTAGTTCAACTGAATCCGCATTGTGATTGTAGTTTCAACTTCAATAAACAATAAGTACTGTTATATAGTGATAATTTATTTGAACTTTTCAGTTCGTATCGCTGTAACAGAGTTCATGAAAATAAAATGTGATTTCGTAACTGAAAAGCATACAGATTAAGAGTATCAACTTATTTGTAACAAAAACGGTTTAAAATAAAGTTTTGAATAAATATTACAGAATTCATCATAACTGAAAAGATCTGCAGCTTTTTACAAAATGTGAATCCATGATAAAACTTGTATGTATTAACGTAACTGTATAAGAAGTTTGTGGAGATTACGGAGATTTCATGGTTTAAATTACAAACCAATCTTAACTGGATCACCATTGAAAACCAGGATGCCGTTGATAACCATTTCATCTTAGTATGGGACTCTTGTCTGGATCGTGGGTATACACTGTCGAGGAATGACATATTAGAACGAATTAGCTGTCTAGTACTTCCTAGATTTTAATGATGGTCAAATCAAATCAATTCATAATTTAAACTATGTAAAATTGTTAACTAAATAAATGTAATTTCTTCAAAATGTTTACGATTTGATTGAAATTAACGTCTTAGCTTAACAAATTAACTGCAAATTATCATCAGTAGCGGTATTGTTGAGATTTTAAAAATTTCACTAGTTGAAATCATGAGTCCATTGAAGCTAGACCACCATTTAAAAAGTGGAAGCACTGGACGACCGTTTTGTCCCACTATGTACTCCTCAGCAGTGCACACCCACGATCCCGCCCCCCGCGAGGTTCGAACCCAGGACCTATCAATCTCGCGCGCGACACCTCACCATTAGACCACTGAGCCGGCCGAAATCCAACGGTGTTAATATCTAACTTCAACCACCATACACCACTGTCGTCAGTGAGATGATATTTCACAACAGACCTGGTTTAGCTCCACTGGTCATGGCTTCTCACTAGAACTACAGGAAATGCCTCTTGAAGTCCAGGTTTTCCATGATGATCTAGCGTCAATTGACTCATGTTTTTTCAATTAGTGTAAATTATTAACCAATAAAAGTAAACAATTTATATTGACTAAAGTGTAGAAATTTTTAGAATGAGACGAGATCAAGTTACATAAAAATTAAAATTCTATAATATGAATTTTTTTTCTACTTACTAATTGTTGGTAATTCCTTGTCATATACACTACTCATAAACAGATATTTTGTACAACGTTTGCCCAACTATTTTTAACATAAATAGCTTTGGTTCTATGTGTTTTCGGCATTGTATTAATGTAACATAATATACGAATAGATAAATGTAATTTTTTAGCTTCTTCTATATTCATTACTAAACAGTAATATGAAAATAAAAAATAATTATTATATCAACATTAATGTAATATTTGTCAATATACAATATTTATGAGTTAATATTAAATATTATCAAGTTAGTTTCTGTATTTCAGAAATTTGTGATGTTTACTTCATTGTCAATTCTTGCATATTACGTATTATTCTTTATTGTTCTCCACTATTCTTTCCCTGGCTTTTGAGAAAAGACTTTGCTGTGTTGCGGAGAGTGCTGAAGGCAGTTAGCAAGGTGTGTGGTGAATCTTTCGATGTCATGATTAATATGGTTGTGGATAGACATCTAAAGTCATGCAAACTCCTGGCAGGTGTTATTTTATCAGATACTAACCATCCCCTTCACTCTTATCTTTCTCCTTGTATATCTCCTGGTAGAACGAGATGTAATTACATTAAAATCCTTGCAGGCAAGCAAAAGTATAAAAGTTCTATAATACATTATCTAGCAAATATACTCTGTGACAACAGGTTGTTAGAGTTAACCTAGTCAATAACCTGCATTCTTAACATGTCTCTAATTTTAAAATTTGTACAGTTTTCACATATTTTTTAACATCTTTTCTCCCTTGTTTTGTCTTTGTTTCTGTTTTTTGTGTGTAAGAAACTTGTTGAAATACTCTGTGCTGAGAATTCTATATTGTACCTAAATGTAATATTGTATAAAGCCATTAATAGTTAAAAATTAATTAAATTGTTAAATCAAATATAAAGTATATCCTTTAAATTGTATAGATTAACTACTGATAAATGATATTTTCAAGATGACAAAGTAAAACATTCGAAAGGAAGACTGATTTTATAAGAACTAGCTTTTGTATAATGTATTCTGAATTGAGAAGAAATCAATAGAATTCGAATAAATTCTTCAGCATCATTTGTTTAGGTTTGTTATTCACCATTGTTTCTTTGTCCTATCTTTAGTACTGAATGTATCTTAAAGTAAGTTATAAAATGAGACTATCAATCCTGGTAAATTAGATATATTTACTGTTGAATAGTTAGTATTACTCGAAATGATACTATATATAAATTCTATAGACCATTTGTAAATAACATCATGAGCTGTTTGTAACTAATACTCATTTGTAGACTTTAATTAGCATTAAAACTAGGTTTTTAATAGGAATCACATGTCTCTAATTAATTAACCAACTATGATTATTATAAGCTGTTCAGAAAAAAATAATTCGTAGGGTACTTGTTGAAGTGAAAAGTTGAAGTTTCCTAGTAAAATAATTTAGTTTAGAACAAATTCATAGAAAGCATTCAGTTAATTACTTAATTTAAGATCAAAATCTAGATGTTCAAAAATAACTGTTAAGAAATTCATACGGTTTAATTGGATACTTAACAATATTCGAGTTATTATACTTGATCAACTTGATGAACACAGTATAAATTCAAAGAATTACTAGTTTATTACTTGAATCAAGATGAACAAGTTATGTATTTCATAGAGTTCAAAGTATATTTTTTATTAGATAGTTGGAAAATTTCTGGTCGGCGACCTATGCTCCATTCAGGGTCACAGGCGTATGTATGTATGTAAGTTAGAAAATTCACATTTATTATATTGAAAGCTAAACATGAAAAGATATTAAGCTCTATGTTGGTAATTCACTGGTATGTAATGTGTTATATGTAATTACAAATGTTCAACCTATTGTTCTTCAATGGTAATTTATCAATTATTGAAGCTTTAATTATCAAATGAAGGAAAAAACGAATGTCACAATTTTAGAAAAAAACTGAAATGGCAATTTTCAATTTAATATTAGAATGTAACACAATCAAAACTAAAATTCGTAAAATAATTAATTATAAAATTCAAAATGTTCACATAATTTCAATGGTTGTTTTAATTATTTACTACAGAAATTGACTGACTGTCTGCATGGAAACACGTATGAAAATAGTGCAGCTGCTAAGACTGGGATAATTATAAGAAGTATATTAACTATAATTAGACAATTGACTGATGAGTTTACTCCATTTTTTTCTTTTAGAATCAGACAATCTCAAACTTGTTCATTAAATTCTCCAGAAAATAGCTTGTCAAAATGTTTCTTTATCTTATAGAATTTGTTTACTTTTCTATTAATCTTACAACAACATTATGATTAGTAATTTTTCCAAAAGTACTTAATTTTTTTAATAAATATTTGGAAGATGTGAAAACCTTTACATATTTGGGCAGCATCATTGATTAATACGGTGGATCTGATGCAGATGTGAAAGCGCGGATCGGAGAAGCAAGAGCAGTATATTTACAACTGAAGAATATCTGGAACTCAAAACAACTGTCAACCAACACCAAGGTCAGGATTTTCAATACAAATGTCGAGATAGTTCTTCTGCATGAGGCGGGAACCTGCGGAACTACGAAAGCCATCATCCAGAAGATACAAGTGTTTATTAACAGCTGCCCACGTAAAATACTTCGGATCCGTTGGCCAGACACTATCAACAACAACCTGCTGTGGGAGAGAACGAATCAGATCCCAGTGGAGGAAGAAATCAGGAAGAAGCGCTGGAAGGGATAGGGCACACGTTGGGGAAAGCAGAGAACTGCATCACAAGGCAAGCCCTTACATGAAATCCTCAAGGTCAAAGAAGAAGAAGATCAAAAAACACATCATGTCGAGAAACGGAGACAGACATGAGAAGAATGGAAAAACTATTGGATAGAACTGGAAAGGAAGGTTCAGGACAGAGTAGGTTGGAGAATGCTGGTCGGCGGCCTATGCTCCATTAGGAGTGACAGGCGTAAGTAAGTAAGTAATTAATTTATGGCTATTAGGTGAAAACTGTGGTAAACATTGGTAATCAGACAGCTCTTTAACACTACATACCTCTTTATTCTTTATTATTTTGTTACTGGTCTGTAAAGAAATATATTCTGCCAAATTTCTACGTAAATTTCATAGAGATAACCTTATCATTTACATTCTAGTAAGTCAGTGAGAACTAAATTTGTTAAATAAATGGTTGAGCATAACTTACAGTAAGTTTGTTCGACCGCTTTATTTGATTGGATTTTATATTGTTTTCTTATCTTTGGATGTAAATCAGCATGTTTTTTTCTGGATTCATCATTTTTACATAGAATAACTTTATTTTCATATCTAGGTTTCAGCGAGATAACAATAATTCCTATCATAATTCCAACGAATAATAGTAGAAATTTACGAGTTTCAAAAAACATAGTAAAAATAATGTTCAGAATTCTCTGCTTTCCGTATAAATCACAACACATGATAAAGTATATATATATATATATAATTTTGCGATATATTCAGATTTGCGGGGGCGGGGTGACAAAGTGCAACACTTTAATTCAAACTTAAAGAGTTCTGGTATTAGTTTGATATATCAGTCCATACATTACTAAGTGGAGATTGATTTAGTCAATTGTGCAACTCCAAGTAATTTGTGTACTAATAAATAAATGATTTTCTTAAGTTCCATAATCAGGTTATTCTTGGATATCTCCTAATGCTTTACAATGAATATATAGTTTTTGCAACTCTTACAGTAATCGTAGTGTTGATGATGAATGAGTTGAGTATATTTCTGCATTATATAACCAAAGAGTGAAGCACTTTTAAAATGTCTATTATGAAATGACATTAATTCATAGTAACTAAGACATTTTCAGAGGCTTAAGTCATCAAACCTCAGTTTAATATAATTTATAAATTCGGGTTACTACCAAATGAGCGTAGAATTTATTCAGTTTTTATTTAATAGATATTTATGAAACGTTTTTATAAGTTTTCAAATGCAGTTTAATGTATTTGGGGAAGAAATCAATGATAAAATTAGAACTCGATCAAGTGAAATCTCGCTTTGATGATAGGATGTTTCTTCAGGTGAAGTGTTAACCTATTGAATTTGGTTTTTATAAAGCTGGGTAGATATACTGTCAGTACGGTCCTCTGAATCTTTCGATTCACGTTTATTCTGCGTGTAGCTCTATATGCCTCCATTTCATAATTCTTAGCAGAGTTCGTTTTAATATATTTCCTGTTTCCAAAACTCTAAACATATGTTTATCAATGTTAGCATCCTAACTTGAAACCACTAACCACGTCATTTATCACTAATTATGCTTGAATATGTATTTGAAATAATTGTAAATCGAAACAGAAAAATGAAGACTGTTTGTCTAAGTCACAAGGATAAGCCTTTCATACTCATGGGTTCCGATTTAGTTTATATAATTGCCTGCTTAAGTTAGACAGAGTTTTAATGATTCTGATGTAAGCCGAAATATCCCAGTACACTGAAGTATTTGTCAGAATATTTATACCTATAAAAAGATGTTTTAGTATGATTATAAACTGAATAACTGAACCTCTATGTCAACCAATAACCAATCAATTACGTCAATAAATTAAACACTTGAAAGGCCACGTGAAAAGTATATCAGAGATGAACTAATGTCTCTGCGTAATCTAAATTTTCAACTACAGTGCAATTAAAGATAGGTTTATCAGCTGATCGATCACGCAGCATCATTTTATATATTGCCCACTAAAACTTACATAAATTGAGTCCCTCAGTTCTATTGTTATAGCGATCTCAATTGACACGATATTAAGAGGTTAAGGTGAATCAGATCAATTGTAACACATACTTTACCTGCTAGGGTTCAGTAAGGACATGAACCAGTATCACCATGGCAAACACAAAACAGAATTTCAAATGACATACATGTAACCTGGATATTATATGATAGGTGCAGCAAAAAAATAATGAATGGAAAGTATCTGGTAACACCCGATATCCTGATTGTCAAGAAAATCGCTTATCGAATGTCATGTTATTTACGCCGGCTCCAGAAGATAAAAAATGAATATGATTATTTAAATGACTTGGGAAAAGGCTAAGTTTGACATCCTAATCGGAATTCACCTGTGTTATTTCCTTTTTTACTTCAAACTAATTATAACTACCAAGAAAGATCTCTTACTGTGTCAAGACTGTCGATCTCCTTCACCATCTCAAAAACAAAGGAATTATATTGAAGGATAAGGTGTAGATTAACTGTTTATCCTAATCAAGCTTTCTTACAGAGTCCTGATTTATGTGACATATTGTGAATCTTTTAGGTTCTCTTGATCTTTCACATATGCCAAGGAATGTGAATCGAGAATACCACTTGACTCCATGTTGGAGGATTATGATACTGAGTTTGAGATGTTCGGTTAATATGGTGTCTGTATGAACTAATGATTCCTCTGTACTTAATGATTGCCTGGTTTCAAATTTCAAACACAATGCGTTCGTTCGTGCGACCTGATGGCTAGTTCTCGTAGACTGGCAGGTGTAGGCCTAGCACTAAGTACGAGGACAGAACAAGAACCATTAGAATGGAACTCCGTTAACAGTCGTCTATGTGCAGTTCGGCTAAACTGCTTCGTAAGAACTCGAAAGGTTAGGGACATACGTGGTTACCTTTTCGTCATTTCTGCCTACACTCCCACTGACTGCAGCCTGGATGAATTGAAAGTTGACTTTTACAGAAATCTCTCTGAACTTCTTCATAAAGCTAAATGCTGAGACATAGTACTCATAGCAAGTGACTTTGATGTCTAAGTAAGTAGCTTAGATCAAACAGAAAGACTTTTAGATGAATATTTTAGTATCCTGGCTCAACGAACAGATAATGGTGATCGTCTTCTGCATCTGTGTTCAGATAATCGTTTATTTTTAGCAAACACTGACTATAAGCATAAGGAGAGACATCGTCTAACATGGCGACCGCGTGCACCAAACCAACAATGAACTCAACTAGACTATATTGCCATCAGTCATCGTTGGAGAAGCTCGTAGAAGTCGGCTTCTGCGTAGCAGAACCAGGCTTCGATGTTGTCTGGCCAGAAGGGCATCAGTTGGAACGAAGGTGGGAACATAGTCTTTAGCTTAAGTACCTTGGGTGTCTGTTCCGTCATAGTGCAATATCAAGTACGAGAATGAACGAGTGAAATATATATATATATATATATAAACATGGAAACAAAAGTATCACAATGTATAAAAAATTAAAACAAAGCAATGACATATAAAGTCCCAAAAAGGAACAGGCTCACAGTTTGCAATTTGACGTACCAGATCGTTAGACTCACCAATGAAAATGCCACAGTATTCGGAGTTTGACAATGCTTTAACCAGTAACACCTAATATGATTCGTACCCACCAAGTGAAATCAAAAGACAGAAGCGAGAAGGTTCGAAAATATATTTGATAGGCTATCAATATATCGAGGATCGTCTGATGTAATCTGGCTAGCGATTGCAGGGTTTGTTGAGCGCGACGTTCCCACTCGTGATCTGGTGCGGATGCATGACCGAGCGCCTTCAGCTAGGTAGGTCCATTAAAACTAATGAAGTCAGCATCTAATGTCGAAAACTTACAGAGCTATTTATTTTGGGGATTTATTTGCCGCTAAAATATAAGACTCAAACCTCCTAAACCAAAAATAACCTTCATGGAGTAGAAAACACTATGTCTGAATATTTTTTTCAATGGTGAAGTAGCTATAAACATCCTGAAGCGCAGAATTTCCAACTATCTTAGTAGAACGCTCTTCGCAGCATCGTTGAGACTTTTGTTCTCTAGCCGATCAATGCTCAATGACAATCTATGTGTACAAAGGAAACGTACAACCTCTTCTTTTACAATGGTCTTAACCTCTTGTATCTCTTTCTTCTTCTCTCATGCAGCCGTCTACTTTCCGTCCATCTTCACCACAGACCTTTTGCCGTTGACCGACATGTTTCTCTTTTACCGATCCTCCTAAATATGGTCCACCTCAATTTCAGCAACTAATCTCGCCACATCGAGCCTTCTCGTTTAATTATATAATTATTTATTTGTTTATGTTCAAGCTGAATATTAAAACTTTTGACAACGACATGATTATCAGTTTACTCAATAAAAATGACATTTTCATGAACCTGCTTATATGACGTTGGTTTTACCATGTTTATTAAAAATTATGTTATCCTTATCACTGTAATTATTATAATTTTGAAAAATAAGTTCATTGTAACGACTTAAATGCCAATATTTTGTATGAACGCAGCACTAACGAACTAAAACTTATTCCGTTCAACCAGACTATGTTTTTCTGCATAGCGTACAAAGCGTTTTCATATGACTCGCAATAAATTATATCAAAACACAAACTCCGTGTTACTTTAAAGTGTTATAGTAATATTCATCTCTAACCACACAATCCTTGAAGGTGAACGTATACTTACTGAGATCAACTTTCACCAAATAACAGGAAGAGAAAGCCAACAATGATGGACGCGAGAAGGATGAATCGAAATGGCATGGCTCAGTCATGCAGGCGCGGTTGCTTTCATTTCTTGCTTTTTGTATTAAATATATTATTTTTTTCTAACCCCAAAGGTGTTCTTCAGAAATACTAGACATCATATTGCTGATCATCACGGTAGGTTGAGTTAGGGTAGATAATAATGTGACTTTCACGTAAGACCTTATAAATAAATTAGTCACATCATGAAAAGTCTAAAATTTGGTGGTTGAATCTTTTATAAGAGTAGCGGTAGTACCGAACCAGATCATAATTCTACAAAGGTACTAAAACGACGGCTCTCCATAACTCCGCGACCAAGACATACTGTTTCTGTATTACTCGAAGAGGACAGATGAATTCATATTATAAGTACTCAGTAATAAAATGTATAGTTCTGTAAGACTTTAGTATTGATGCCGACCTCACTAGTTTTGCTGGACGCACTGAAGCTCAAGGCTCGCGATCATGCATTCTCACCAGATCATGAATTGGTATGCCTTGCTACTCACCCCTTGCGACTGCTAAGCAGCTCAGACCCAACGCTTCTCAAAGTACAGACAACCTTCCAAATATGTTTATGAATACATTCAAACCTGAATTTTGTTTTGACTGTGTCGCTAACCTTCGATAATAAATATACTACAGACAAAAGCGTTGCTAGTTCCAGAATATCTGTGTAAACTTTAAGTCTGTTTAGTTGTAGATGAAGTATTGCAAATAGTAATTCTCACGACAGGCTGACAATCTCATGCCTGAAATAGCCACATTTGCCGATTAGCTATTCTACACTCAACATCATCAACAGTGAAGTTAGGTGTATGATTCACCATTCTGTTGTCATTTTTCTAATGTAGGGTACGTTTATGTAGATAGA